GGGGGAGTAGTTTACCTCCGGATTGTTTTGCCTCCAGAGGAAACATCTCGCATATATGGTATCTCTGTTTTTGGAAAGAGACTATCCAGGAAAAGTGATAATGTGGTAGTTTTTCCATTTGCTTTCCACATCGCAGTACAGCAGTCGTTCAAATCACTCTGATCACGCCTGTTGCTATACGAACTTGAACCATCTCGAGCATCATTTGCTCTGTGCTTCAAGTCGCTACTGATGACGCTGCNTTCGGTTTTTGGTGTCTCTCTTCGTCTGATGCCTACCCTTTGACCTGTCCAGCAAGGGAGGCCCTGCCAGTAGCTACGCTACCGCTGGTATAGCTCTCAGGGTCCTTGGCATACTCAAACCCCCTCACCACGATAAGGTGGAGACACCAACGAGGGGGACAGTAATAATATCCGCAAACCTGAAGACGACCTTGTGAAGCTCGAAACATGCAGCGAACGCCTTTGCCTAATAGACGAATATTTATATGTTTGTTTGTGGATATTACATGTATTTTTGTGCAGCCTGCACTATTAACGCAATTAATTAGTTGGTGACAGAATATTGCTACAGTCCGTTGCCCATGTAAAAGTAACTGAATTCGTATTACTAATCCATTAACTCCATTTTTATGAGTTAAGCGCTAAATTGTATTTTTGGTCAGTTTTTTAAACTTTCCCGCTCCAAATCAGTGGCAAGTACCATGGATCATGTTGGGTCCGAGCTCTGCTCCTGTGTAAACGAACAGTGTATTTAGGCGGTAATCCGTGAAAGTAAATGCTTGGATAGTGACGTTTGGAAAGTATAGTTAGATCGCTACCAACGTTTTGTAGGAATCATAGGAAACTAGATAATGCTTCCATTGTAGATTAGAAGGGGTGACGGTGCGAACCACAGTTGAATGGATTATATTACTCAGAAAGGATGGTGACAATACCAGACTGCATGGTATCATCATAGAAAACAGTAATCACGGACAATGTCATTTTTAGTATATTGGCAACAATTTTGCCGAATTTTAGTACACAGTTTTCCCGATGATCCCTTGGTGCGCTACTAGCAGCCGGGAGGTCGTGATGGTCGTGATTGCTCTGTCTTGCTCGGCTGCATAATTATCTTTGGTATTCGTCATTTGGCAAGCAGGATGTGGTGTCAGAAAGAGGTAGGGTTGAGTTCCTGTGTTGTATGTATGTTAAATAACTTTGCTGTAGCAAGTTCAAGAGTTTGTGCTGTGCAAGTGTGGTGTGTATGGAACGCGATAAAAGTGAATGAATTAGTGTGAGATACGGGTTCTTCCTCTCCATCTAAAAGCAATTTGAAGCTTTTTGAGTGGGGAGAATACATCATGGCGGCGAACATCAGGAATAGGACAGCACAACACAAGAATATTACGTCAATATTCTCTAAACTACACGATGCATTTGCTGATGTAGTAGCGTCACCAAAAATAGCAACCGATAAAAGAACATTAGATAAGACATGGAAGCTGATGGACAAAGTTGTGAAACTGTGTCAACATCAGAAAATGAATTTGAAAAATTCCCCTCCGTTCATTTTGGATATTCTTCCAGACACCTATCAACAATTAAAACTTATTTACTCAAAATATGAAGGTGAAATGGCTGTGCTTCACAAGAACGAACATTTTGTCTTGTTCACGGACAATTTATTTAGAAAATGCAAGCAGGCTATTAAACTTTTTAAAGAAGGGAAAGAGAAGATGTTTGATGAAAATTCACATTACAGAAGAAATCTTACCAAACTCAGTCTAGTGTTTAGTCATATGTTAAGTGAACTTAAGGCAATATTTCCAAATGGGACATTTGCTGGTGACCAATTCAGGATCACCAAGAGTGATGCTGCGGAGTTCTGGAAAAACAACTTTGGAAACAGGTAAAACTTATCCATTTAAGATAAGAAGCTGTAGCTTTCTTTCTTTTTAGTATTTTCAGAACGTGTTTACATGCTTGTTGCATTCCTTTACAGAATGATGGTTTCAGAATCATAACTCTTAAGGTAGTTGCTTGTATGCTGTGACCTTATGTTTCAGGTGATCACATTAATTTAGCATTATCATTTAATTTGTAACGTCTTTTTGGTTCATATGTGTAGTGCTGTTGAGCATAACATCACTGATACCTTAATGATTTTAGATAAGATTTGTTTTGATTGAAGTGAAGTGAACATGTCTTCTGCACCCAGATTTTAACATTTCTCCATGTGTACAAGATGAGAATTACCAGTCTAAATAGCGTTTTCTAAAATATATTAATATTCCTTTAATAATAGCTTCTTTTTTTTTATTAATGTATAGACATGTCATCATTTTCAATGTAGGGTAACGAGTTTTGACAGATATAAGCTTTAAAGTGTTCATGGTAACATGAAGTCTCTGGGGCAGTCAGCCATGTCAGTATGGAATAAATTTCAGTCATTTTCGAAACTGTCTCTGCTTCCATCAGAAATTGCGGTAATAAGTGATGTAGGCATTCATACACACTCACACACACACACACTCATGCATGGAGAAAGAAAGAGAATTTTCTTGCACAGTTCTTGTTTAGAAAGCAGACCAGTAAGGGAATAGTGAGCACTCAGGTATTCAGTCAACTTACTTAGGGCTATCGTGTTGTTTAATATGGAAAATCGGAGACATTAGTGAGCATGAACTCTTCTTTCTGTCTTTTAGAGTGATAATTTGTTAACATATCTGCTTCACTGGAATATACTGGTTAATAAGTTTCAGGGTATATGCAGGACATTTCTGACAAGATCAGCAAGGTCCTAGTGAAGTTTAATATAACCTGTGCACATTATAGCCAAAAAGAATGCACATCTCTTTTGATCTGGTTAATGTTATCCAACCCTTTGAAGTTCCAGATATGTACTACATCTGCTATGAATATAACAAGGGTAATATTGGACTGGCAGGAAACATCATTGAGACAAGGTGTAAGGGACGTGTGCAACACTGATGCTTATTCCAACCAGGCAAGCAAGCAGTAACTGAAGATAGTACTGAAGTAGGATATCATAATAACTTCAAACACACTGCAGTACTGTCTAGAACTGGAGGGTACATGAACTGTCTGTTGAGAGGCCTTTGAGATCTGCCTACACCCAACAACTTCAAGAGAGATATGGGATTCACTCTTAAGACACCCCTGAAACCTGGCTGCCAGTATAGTTCAACAGAGCAGTCATCAGCAGTGAACTGCTAAGGTCCACAGAAGAAACTGTGAACTGCTAAGGTCCACAGAAGGAAGAGATAATGCTCATTAGCATTACAAATTTTTCCAGGTTAAGCAACATTGACAGTGATCCTATGAATGGTGATGAACACCTAACTCTACCCATTGTTCCTGTTGGTCTACTGGACACCAGCTTCAGGCTCCAGTGGCTGATTGCATGTATTTATGTATAAGGAATGGCTGCATCACATCAGTTCTCAGTGGAGGCAGAGACAAGTTTTTCAAACAAAAATCTATTTTACAGGGTCAGGCAAAAGTCACTTTGCTATATACTTCAAATGATAAAACCATCTCATTCTTAATATTGTTACAGCTGCCTCCTTGTTAGTATTGATATTTACAACAAACATACATTGACCAACCTGCCATTCCTGAAGTTCATTGTGTCTTTGAATGAAAGAATGTCCGGATGTGAGCAAAGGTTAATGTGAAAATGGTTTTGCTGCTTGAGACTTGAGTGATTTTGGTGAATCTGGTGTTTCAGTAATGAGGCATATGTACAAAAGAAGTGCAACAGAAGCTTGTGGAACGGTTTCCTGACACACACCACATCACAACATAGTGTGGAAGCTGATTGCCAAGTTTCTTGAAGCTGGATCAGTTGCAGATGTGTCGAGATCAGGCAGGCTGACAGTAATAACAGGAGAAAATACTGAATGTATCAGATCACTTATTGCAAAACCCGAAAAAGTCCATTTGTAAATTGGCACAGCAGCACATGTACAGTGCTGAAGAAACATTTGCACCTGCATCCTTGCAAGATAACGTCAGTACATGAATTGAAAGAAAGGGCCAACATCAGCTGTGTTGGGTATTGCCAGTTTTTTTAGAGACAAAGATACTGCCAGTGAAGAGGATATTTTGGATGTCATATTTTTTACCAATGATGCGTGGTTTCAGTTATCCAATTATGTCAGCAACTAAGAGAACCAAATTTGCTCAGCATGTAATTCACATGAAATGAAGGGTACACCATCAAATGTTCAGAAAGTTGGTGTGTGGTGCACCATAGCATGAAATCTGATAATCAGCATCATATTCTTCAGTGACACTATCAGCTTGGAACGTTATTATGAAGTGATTCCTTACCCCTTCTTTTGACATTTAAATGAGGACAGAATTGCCCCCTGCTACTTCCAACGTAACAGTAATACTAAGAATAAGGCATTTGTAACACTAATACTAAGATTGAGGCAGTTTTGTCTTTTGTAGTGTATATTGACTTTTGGCTCACTTTGTATAATGACACAACTGATTGTCCAAGAAGACTTCATGGCATACTGCTCTCACCCTGCTCAAAGGAACTATCTGTAATTCGTGGTCCCTTAGGCCCCATATTTTATTCAGTTTGATGAAGCCAGCGTAACCTCAGACTGCTTAGAAAACCAGTTCAGAGCATATAACATGTGCCACTGTGACCATAAATATGTGGAGGCTCATATCGAAGTCATGCCGACTCCTTTGTTGAAGACATCCCTGTTAGTTTCTGACCCAGTGATGTCTCAGGAGAAATACAATCCTTGAAATTGAGAAAGGTCTGTGGTTTTGACGGCATTCCAAATGAATATCTCCTGCAACTTCCAAGAAGACCTCTTGTGTGTTTAACACATTTATTCAATCACTGCCATTGACTTGATCACTTCCCAGCACCTTGGAAGGTGGCAATAATTATAACTGCCGAAACCTGGCAAAGACCCAAAATTTGTGACTGATCAGCCCGTTCTCCACTTTGGGCAAACTATTTGAGAAGGTGATTTTAAGAAGAACCCAAAATCACGGAGGAAAGAAACTTCCTAGATGCAAGTCAGTTTGACTTTCGAGCAGATCACAGTATGACATTTCATTGTATGAGGCTGGCGGATCATGTCACCCCAAATTTCAACAATATGTTGACAGCTGCTGTATTCTTGGATATCGAGAGAACTTTCAACAAAGCATGGCACTTTGACCTACTATATAAAGTGTCAGAATTAGAATTTTCAACAAATCTCGTTAAGCTAATTGCTTCTTTTCTCACTGGCAGAAAATTTAAAGTCTTTGTTGAAGGCGAATTTTCTACGCTGTGAAAAATAGCAACAGGGGTTCCTCAAGGTTCTGTCCTTGCCTCAGATGACAGAAGGTCCTGGAATGCAACAGTGGTATAAAGGACTCAGGTGCAAGATGGCAGCTATGTCTTAGGAATGAGGGAACATCTGGCAGGATCTTCAGGAAGACTATAGAGATGAAAGTTGAAAAGCGAATAATCAGGTCTTTGACTGGGCTATGGGAAGTGAATGACTGAACTTTATGGAGGGGCTGGCCCCCTCAGAAATGAAAAAAGAACATCAGAAGCAAAGCCCTCAGAAAAGAATAAATGGCAGTATGCCTGTATCCTCTTCAGGATGAAGCAGTGTGGTATGTAGACCTGTTGCTAGGCAATGACTGCAAAGCAAGCAACTATACAACGTACATTGCTAAGCAACATCTGTATAGACAAGTATGCTTCCACAGTAACAGAACATGACAATATTGGAAGATACAGAACTGCTGGTGTTAAGGTGCTGTGAGCTGTTGCTATTAGAAGCTGATAGCTTAGGTGGGGAACAGTTCAGGAACCCAGAGAAAAATAAATGTTCGCCATTAAGAGCCGCTACCAAGAAACACATTGAAGATGTGCCTATGGACACTCGTGTGTGTGTGTGTGTGTGTGTGATAGAGAGAGAGGGGGAGCTGTAAAGTGTAGTCACGCTCTGTATCAAAATGTGCAATAAGTCCGGTCATCAGTTCAAGACCTGTCTGTTGTCACTCCCATCACATGACATTATTTAAGTCAAATAAGCAAAGCAAAACAGACTTCTTAACACATCTTATACAACTGATGATGACAAGTTAGGCTGAAACATGTTGTGAAATAAGGTAGAAAGAAGAAACATCAAAACCTAGTGGATTTTGAGTTGCATAAGGACAGATAAGAATTAGAACAGTATTCAAGAAGAGTGTTTATTTGGTAAAATATTGCATGCATTGTAGTTGTTAATTCAAGGTGAATGAGTGTGTATCGTGGTATCATTTTGTTGATCCCCATCTGTAGCATAGGTTCTGTCATCAGGTAGACAGCAGTGCTGTTTTCTCACAGAGAATTGGTTCCTTAAGGCCCCATGTAAGGCACAGTAGATACTGTGGTTGCGGTGCAAGGGCCAAGAAGGCCCACCCCTTATACATTCAAGGCCTCATGTGTGTCCCTTCTCAGTGAATGAGTTTAAGTAGCTGTTTTGTTTGGGTTGATAGATTGTCCATGAAATGGGTTTCTACACATAGTATCATCTGCACAACTTCATAACAGCCATCCCTCTTGAGTTCCCAGAGAAAATGGTTCACTACCGAGCTTCACAGCAGGGATGATGATATGTACGTCTGTGGGCAGCCCTGGGTGTGGACCCGATGAGTGTTGCTCCTTATAATGTGATTGTAGTATAGAGCAAGGTTTGCTGCAGATGATGGTCTCAGTGTCATGCCTTTTAGTAGCTTGCATTGTTGCTTCAAATGAGAGTCTACAAAATGCCTTCTCTCCATCAGTGAAGGCCACTAATGCTATTTCCATGTGGTCACCTGCACTGTCAGTGTATGTTGCCACTTTGTGAACTGCAGTTTTAGTGGATTTTC